GCAGCTGGAGCTGCTGCCACCGCGTTGGCTGGCAGGACAGCAGTGAGAGCCCCCTCCTTGCTCTCCAGGAACATCTCACAAAGTTCCTGCTCGAATAGGAAACCCTGTCCCAACACACCTCCCCTAACGCAAGGGGTTGCCGAGAGGTTAATAGGAGACGAATAAAAGAAACTGAGTTTGACCGGCGTCCTTAATCAAAACCCTGCAGCATCACTTCTCGCCAAGCATTAGCAAAACATTCGCTATAGTGAGACCTCGACTCAGACAGGCTAATTCTTTTTTAAAGCCCCTTCCAGTCCAAGCAGTGCTGCCACTACCTCTCTCGGCGTGGTTCCGCTCTGCTGGCCGGTGCGGGTGGCCCTGCTATTTATGGGTTGCTTCTGAACAGAACAGCACATTATTTGGACGCTGATACAGCAGCTGCGTCTACTGAATTTCATCCATGAGATTTCATCTCAATAGCACGGGCTTGCAGCATGCTATGGAAACGTTATTCAGATTTCTCCCGGCTGTCCCTTAAAAATGTGCCACTCAATTTACGGAAGATTAACGTCGAAATTCACATCAGCACGTTCACGCTGCTTCTTGCCAGGTTCTCTGGAAAACTCTCCCATCAGCAGTTAACGGGAGGGTTTAGCTTAGAAACCAAGCACAGCACAAAGCAAAAAAACATGCAAAATATTTACAGCTTGTTTGGGCTCAAACGCAAGATGAGACGTGGGGTCGGCGTCAACTCCCAGGAGCTCTGCTGGAAGCACGGTGGGGAAGCTGGGGGCAGCCGGTACCGCGGCAAGAGAGCAGGACCGGCACTCAAGATTCGGGTTCTCACCTCAGCTTTGACCCTTATCAGGAAGGTTTTCTCCATCAAACCCCTTTTCCTTCTTTGCACTCCAGTTCATCTCCCTACCCTGCATGTTTGCTGAGAGCACTGCACACACACTGCCCTGGGCTCAAGGAGACTAACAGGGTCTTTTGGGAGCCAAGTGCCTCGTACATGGGTTCCTCCATCTTTACAGGCAAAGCATGATCTAAGAGGGGGAAAAGTGCAGTTCTTCCACACCAGATGCCAAGCTGGTGAGAGCATTTTGCTTTGCTAGTAGCAGGCCTGATTCCCTCTTCTTCAGGGAACACTAAGTTACGTTCAACCTACACACATCTCCCCTTAGTACTGCTCTTGCAGGGTTTTCTACCTGCTCTGAGTGTGCCTCATCTTGAAACTGAGAACTACACATGAAACATTTACCGAAATTGCCAAAAAGCTACTCCACTGGGCCAGGTCGGACAAACTTGAAGTTTATCTAATCGGCAGATGGCCGGAAACCTGTCCCGTCAGCGACAGCACCCAAATGGAGCGCTCTGCTGCAATTTGCTGTATCGTACCACGCATTAGAGCCATTTACGGCAAGGCTTTTCATCCCCATCCCGTCGCTGACGTACAGCCACGGTGGCGGCTTTCCTGCGGAGGCTCGGCCCCAGCACAGAGCAGGGGTGATGCACCAAGCCCGGTACGACAGAGAGGATCCACACAGCGTCTGGTGTAGCGCTGCTCTCCGTCTCCAACAGACTCTTTTTCACCACTGCCCATTGGCGCAGCTTCTGATGAAGGACGAGACAAATCGCCTCCAAAAGAGATTTGCCTTCCCCATCGGAGCCCGCCTGCGGGATGCTGCACAGCTCCGACAAACATGAGTCAAGGCGGGGGTGGGATAAGGGTCTTAGCAATGTAAAGCTAAACATGAAGTGCAACTGGCAGCGCAGTGCAGCTCAATAGCATTTGTTGTCACTAGTCCAACGACATTTTGTACCTACAAAGACCCCAGCACGGACAGCAGTTCGATACAGTCCATTTTTATTGCAGTGCCTTTTCACATTTTCATCTTTTCTTTGAATACAAAACTGCTTGGCTGTAAAATAGAAAATCACTTCTGTACAGAAGGAGGACTCAAAGGAGAGCGTGGAATGGATTAATTTGTCTCTTTTACCAAACACAATGGTATCTGTGTTCAACAGATTACAAATCCTTAGAAAGCATTTTTCTTACCGGTCCATTCCTTGCCAGCGTCCCCATTACGCTTAGCTCTGTAGGGGCTGCAGTGCCCATGAATCTTCCTTTCCCAAACTCACGGAGCTCGCACAATGATAAGGCAATTGCAAAAACATGACAGAAGGGGCACTGGATCTCATTGATTTGTCTTCTTAACAGAACTCAATTTCCTTTTGCTGTCAGCCTCTTAAATCCCTTTGAGAAACGCTTATAGTGTTAGAAAATAGGTTTTTTTCTTAGTATCTGGTAAAGCTGAACTTGAATCATAGTTGTACAGTACAGTACACAACAGCCAGAATCTCTTTATTACTTAGGAAACTATGTAGTACAAAGTATTTTCTATACCACAATATATTTATCGTGACCCATATTTACATATTCTATAAGGCTATGTGGAACGATATAAAATTTTAATCTATACAATAGCTCCTTTAAAAACAGGCTTGATACCGTCATGTTAACATGGAAAGAGAAAAATCCGTAAGCCATTAGACCTTGTCTCTCCTTCTCCTCCTCCAATCCCACCAGAAGAATCAAAATTTATTTCAGATGGTATTTTTGCAAATATACTTTGAGCTAAGAGGATGGCCGCAGGAGGGGGAGAGGGGGACACGGGTGGCTGGGCGTGCTCAGGAACAGTGCTCACCATGACCAGCTCTTTCTAACCCCACCTCAGAAAGGATGCCCACCATTTACCCTCTCCACTCGTACCAGTGCAGGCAGAACTAGGCTGGACCAGAGGTTCCTGGACTCTGCGGTCCCAACTGAGAGGTCTCAGAACACTGTATGACCAAATCCACACTAAAGTTCCACGGAGGCCGATTTCTGCCCCAAAAGCCCTGTCCTCCCAAAAAGCCCACTTTTGTTCCTTTAATTCACGTGAAGATCTAGGAAAAACACCTGATAGCTCTCATGAGAGCAGAGCTCAAGTCAATGAGAAAACAAACATTTGCTTTTCCTTCACAACATTTCTATTATAGGACAGTGAGACCTCCACCTCCGGCACTCACCCCAAAGGCAGTGGCTGGGGTGACTTATCCAACACATCCTTCACACCTTGGGACCCAGGGTGGGCTGCAGGCTGCTTTGCTGTGTCTACACCACGGGCTTGCACAAGTGTCCTTCAGGAAGGAGAAGACAGCGATCTCTGACAACAGCATCTTCTTTATGCGAGCACAGTTACGGTGACAACACTACGCTTTTACTGGAATAGTTTGGGGGGCTAGCTTGGCAACAGCAGTAACAGCGCTGAAAACACGGCTCCAGGAGCTTCTGCACCTGGATGCACCTTCCACAGAAGAGCCACACTGCGTGGCAGCATGCTGAAACTCCCCATCTCCCAGCAAAACAAGCTACCCCAGGAGAAAGTGTGGTTTTACTGTTCGAAGTTAGGTATCTGCAGTAAGTGATCATCAAACCCCTTCCACCACACGACGTGTGGAACACACAGCCATCTCCCAAAATACCACGTTCGACTGACTTTACGATTTTTCTCAAACCAGACACAGCCTAGTCATTGCTGGCAATCCTGCTCTCCTCCCGTGGATTCACTCTGACCGCATTCGGGGTACCACACACACAGAGCATATTTGGGCTGGGACCACCGGAGTTCTGGATACGCAGTTCCGCTGGCTCCAGAGGATCAGGTTAAGTCTGCCAAAGGCGCTCTCGCTTCCTACATGCAGTAACACTAAGGGCAGTAATACTGTAGTATCGGTAACAGATTTTTTTCACAGTAAGGGGAAAAAGGCATAGAGACAGAAGTGCCTTTTACGAGGGCACAGACTGTTAAAGCATTGTATTTAAACTATTTATATGATATTTGTCTTAGAGCTGCCCTGATCCCCACTAAGCTATTTTGGTATATCAGCTCTCCATTTAACACCTTGACATCAAACCACATCCTCAGTTTAATACCTAAGACAGAAGGCATATTTCAGCGTGTTTGCACAAGTACTAAAGGTTATAAGCTAACTGATGCTGCTGCTCCAGATGAAATGGACGATTAACAGTTTGCATTTATAAATCTGATACACAGTGCATTTAACAGTCTGCCAGTAATTGTCTGCAAACAAATAACAGGGTGAAGCAAACTTCTGTGCAAGCCAAAAGGTGGGGGGGTTAATTCCTATAGGGCCACTTTATAAGAAGGTTTCAGACTTCAAAGGCTGAAGAACAGAAACGCTGCATTTTTCTCTGCAGGAAGTAAAACCAAAGCAGCAAGACTCTGGAACAGCTACTCAAATTAAAGGACTCAAATTAAAGCTACACAGACCTTAAAAAGGTGAATTTGCAAACAGAAAAATAAAAAGGAAGAAATCCACAATTGGGGATTCCAATAAAAAGAAACAGAACGGCTGTGTAAATGCCCAAATGACAAACTGAAACGGAAGGAGGATTTCCGGTAATAACGAGAGAAAAGTGAAATCAGAAAAAGAAGTATTTCTGAATTCCACAAACCACGTACTTTCACTTTAAAAAAAATATCACTCTACTGATGCAGCTTTTTAAGCAAGCAAAAAAAGCTGAGCAGCCGTGAAGGAAGGGACGAGGGCACTGCACTCCACGGGGAGTGCCAGGATCTCCATCATCTTTGTTATTACTCAGACACTGTTAGGACAAGAGCTGAAACCTGCTCTGAGGTAGGTTCCAGTAATTAATGAAAAAGCATACCCAAAGAAAGAGCTGAAGCTGAGAGCTCGCTCCCATCTCGTATTAACAGCAAAAAAAAAAGTATGTGGCAACAAAAGCATTGAAAATTCAACAAGCATTATTTGGAATTAAAATAGAATTGCATAAAGTGTATTACAGTATGTTCTATCATTTAAGAAGTAATAACATATTTATAGATCTTTTATTACACAGTGATAACCTGAAGAGAAGGAAATAGATATTTAATCCATGTACAACATAAAGAAATGATAAGAGCAGAAAAAACACTTTTCCATTCAATAACATTCTAAAGATGCTTTTTAATTAGACATTTAAGCATTAAACATTTCTCAGTAGTAGGTTAAACTACTAAATACAGTAAGTTTCAGTGCATTGTCCAAGCAGATGTGGAAATGCATACACATTCAAAGGGCTTTGTGGAAACCTAGCATTAATCCTCTCAGTTTCCTCAAACGCAGAGCAAACACTGCAGGTACAGAATTTCTGGCCTTCACTTATTAGACCAAGAACCAGTAAATCCTCCAACTATTGGTAATGCAACACTGTCAACCCGCTGAATTCGAAAATCAAGCCTCTGTAAATATTCTCATAAGCAGGGGGAATTTACCTGATTTCTAGATACTTTTTAAAGCAAGCCCCACTTCACTGGAGTAAGAAAAGCAATCATTCTTCTCTCACACCTGCAAACGCTGCCTTCAGGGCTGACCGCAGTGTGCGCGTCACACGCAGTATGCAACTGATGGTACCCGTCAGTGCTGCCATAAAAAAAAAAAATCCCAAAGAGACACATACACAAGCTTATCTCTTCAAGAGTCGCCTTTTCCACCACCATCTGAAGAAAAGGGATGAAGAAAATATGTGCAACATTTTAAAATTAGCTAAGAGGAGCTCTTTAACAGTCTGGTTGACTGCATTCAAATGGAAGTCCATCTCCCATTGCCCAGGGTTAAAAGCCACACAGAATGAAACACTTGGCAGAAATCTGGGGTGATCGTTTCTTAATTGGTCGCAGAAGGGGCTGTAAAACTGTAACAGCGGCAACAGCTCTGATGTGAAGTAGGGCAAAGCAGCAAGTAAAGATTTTTTACATAAGAGAAACTTATCCGTGTCACTTCCATTAAGTACAGGGAGCTGCTATCGGAACTAAATCTGGGAGAGAGATACGTGCATATGGGACTTGTCTCCTGACATACTGCTGTTATTTCCTACAAGCAGACTGGGACTAAAAATCACCTCATCTGTGACTCCTCCATGAGAAGAATTGGCACATGGCTTTGGCAGCTACAAGCTTGATAGACAGCAGACCAGGCAATGCCACTCTGGCTAGCAGATGCACCATTGTGGTAACCCCACATAAACCAAGCTTTCCGAAACGCTGATCATAAGAAAAAAAAAAAAGAAAATGAGTTCAAGTGCAGGTGCTTTATCTTTAATATCTAGAGAAGCCCATCAGCAGGACACGGGAAGTGCAACGCAAGGAGCAGTGTCTGCTCCCGCTCCGGCCCCACACCGCTGCCACGCTGTCCCACGCGGCTTTTGGGCTGCCGGCGCTGCGGGAGGCTCTGCCCAGCCCTGCGCTACAGGAGGGCACCAGAGGAGGAGAGAGCTCCAGTCTCGCTTCCTTCTTCCACATTGCTGCTTTCTTAGTCGAGTCGAGAGGAATACTGATGCGACAGAATAACCTCCCTCGTTGGGCTACATCTTTAAAGGTTTACTGAAAAGAGCACTTACTTGGGGAAAGAATAAAGTATGTCTTAAATGGACATCTTGGTTGATATTTCAGAATCTGTTTTCAAAGATACTAACATATTTGAGATATAAGTGATATTCATCACACCCGTGTTATGCATGAGATATCTATACTGCTATTATAACATCGGTCTTACCAAAAGAAGAAAAGTAAATAATCTGAGAAACTGAAGATCACATTTAGGTTATCCCACAAAATCAGCATAAAAATAAAAACTTAAACCTGGTATTTACAGATCAACAAATAAAAATATGAAGTGGGACTATCCAAACTGCTATTAAAGTGACATTCAACAATTAACTGGAACCCTGATATGAGTGTAACATCCTCCCTCTTCCCTTCCTTTTTTGTTATAAAAAAAACAGTATTTACATATTTTATTTTTTTTTTTTAAAGAGAACTGGTTGACATTATTGCTTGATCCTTTTTAGGAAAGACATTCCAATGAAGCAATTATTCCACATGCTGACAAAACACAGAATATACCATTTCAAGAGTGACAAAAGTTAACATTTTGTTCATCTAAAAATTATATTCATCTGCTAGGTCAGCAGATCACATGTAAATATAAGCCAATCAAAAATACATTTTACAAAAAATAATCAAGTTTCCTTTTTCAATATGGCAGTAAACATAATTTGTTCTTTCACTCTCACCTTCCACAAACTTCAGTCTAAATAGGAGCTTACTATTTTTTCACAAAAAGAGATAAATTTGATTAGAATTGTTATTTTCATAAACAAACACAAAGCCCAGCCTTACACCTGGCACGTCTACCAAAAGTCATATTTTTGAGTTGCTGAACACCTACGCGGAAATGCAGTCTTTGTTCAACAGTCAGGGGACTTTTCTGGTGCACAGCACTCCTAGATCAAATATTACAATCTTTCAAGACTTTCTGAAGTGCTAACTACGAACCACCGGTTCTTCTTCCAGGCAGGTCTGAAGTGACTATCCTCCCATATCTGAAAAGATACAGCTTTGTATTTGACTATGAATATCAAGCAGCTTTCTCCACAAAACAGGAAGGCACCATGCACATAGCAGTTGAGGCAGGAAGCAAACAGCAGCAACATGACGTGAATTTTAGGTTCAGATGAGTTAAGGCTTCTGTTAAACTTCTTTATCTTCTTCGAGTTAGAATCACTATCTGGAAAGAAAAAACAGCAGCAGTGGAAGTAATGGTATGACACGGGCAAGAAAGCAGTCAGACCCCTCTCAGTGTCTGTAACAGGAAAGCCCCCACAAATGCATATTACTGTTGTAGTGTCGTCTTGGTGTCATCCTATTTAACGCGCTAAATGCTCAAGAGCTGCCCAGAATACTGCTGAAACGAGATATGCCAAGGTTTACAAAATGTGCACAAGCCTGTTATTCGTTGTTCTTGCTTGATGGCAGCACTATGAAATCACAGCACAAACAGATTGAGTGTTGTTTCAATAAAAATATCTGCAGAGAATCAGTGAAACTGTATCACCTGTGAATGAAAACTTCGCTTCTACGAAACCTGCTCTGCCTCAACACAGAATTACTTTACATTCCTGGGTGTACATTTCATAGTAAGCCCATTTTAATGTTTATGCTTACAGAGTTGTTATATTGACACATTAAGGAAACATTTTCCACGTGTGTTTTTATCACTGCACACTTTCATTTAGCAAAGCCCCTCTTTTGGTCGGAAGATACCTTTTCAAACCTGATTCTCATAATGGCTCTGTCTCTTCTTTGATTTCAGCTCCTTCAGCCACTGAGGAGACTTTTCTTCTGACCTAAGATATAAGAAAATACTCTTTGTTCTTTAATTGTGAAAACCCATTACAGAAACAAAAAAACGAAATATACAATTTCCCCTACAGCCTTGGGAAGTCTACTTGCGTTATTTTTCTTTTTCCACCAAAACGAGTATTGGCATCTTTCTGACACTGGTGGAAGTCTCTCACCTGTCCTCCTTCTCTACACTGGAGGGCAGCAGTCTGCTACCAGGAGTTCCAAGCTGCAGTTGTGGTTTAGGGGATTTGAACAGCTGAGCAGAACCTATTTCACCAGGACTCTCAGACTCTTGTCTTTTCCGCAGTTGGGCCTAAAAAATAAAAATAAAGAAACGAGCTCCTTTGTAAGACAGCATTCAGACTTTTTTTGGAATGCAAAACAAAACTCAGATTTATAAAAACAAAAAAATCCACGCCTGAAATCAGTGAAGAGATTCCATATAAACCTATGCAGTTTTGAAAGCATGTTTGCTATTGCGAAGCTCATTTTTTTCCAAATCACAGTATTTCTAACCAACAGTTAAAAGCGAGAAAGATAACTGCAAGGTTTTTCTACACATCACCCCCCCACACCCCACCCCACCCCCCAAACAACATTGTCATCTTCAGCAAAATTTCCTAGCTCCACTCCTAGAGAGAATCTGCAGCTACTGAACTGGTCTAACTCTCATCTGATGTGTTCTGCCCATGTTTACCTTGAGAACAGAGTGGTCCATTCCTGGAAATACGGGAAGTCTCTGAGCTTGTACAGAAGATGATCTCGCAGTATGCTGTATCTTTTCTTCCTCATCAGAATCTTCCTGTTGCATAGTTTTCTTCTCTTCTAATTAATTGTTTAAAAAAAAAAAAGCAGAGGGGGAAAAAAAAACACTAGTCAGCAGGCTTTTCACCTATACCTTGTTCTAGATCTCTCATTCCATTCAAAAATGTATTAACAGTAATATTAACACACCACAGGACTGGGTCCAATGCTTCAACAGAGATCAAAGCAACAAAGTACTCAGCAACGATTTCTTGCTGACAGAGATGAGGGAGCAGAAGGTACTCCTAATTTAATGAATGTTGCTGCTTCTAAATATCTCACGCTCTGTGATCAACTGAGATTAATTTAGATTGGAAGAGACATCTGAAAATTATCTGGTCCACCCGCTGCTCAAAGCAGGGCTTTGATACAAAGAGGCTGAGTAGCAAAAGTCTGCATACTACAGGGAAAGATGCAATGGTATGGTTGGCTTTACATGCACTGGGTCTTTAGTTGATAATTACACTCCAGCTTCCAGTACAGCATTTCTTATCAAGGTAAGCCTTCAAAATATTTTAGGTCTGTTAGACCTGCACCAAAGCAACCACCACACAGATAACAGTCTTTCCATTGATTAGGAGGCTACGGACGAGATCTGTTTGATCACACATTCTTCCCTGTATTCATAGGCTTTAAGGGAAAGCAGAAATGGCAGGTCACAAAACTGACTTTTTTAATAGGTTCCCTGAGTTACAAAAAAAATCACCAGCCTCTCTAAAGAACAGGCTGCAACACCAGTAATTCCTCCACTCAGGGCGTATCAAAAGGATATCTGCAGCATATATCACCATAGCACCAAAGTGCTGTGGGTACTAAATCGTGGATCTATAACGGGTGCGTGCATTAAGCCATTCATTCACTTCCATGAGCAAGGATTTTCAGCGCCCGATGCATTTCCTTATTGCATCCTAAGGAATAGTACAGGCCAGGAGGGGGACATTTTTAATAGAAGGGATTTGAAGGAGTTGATTTTTCCCTTAACTAGGCCTCTTTAGTCCTGTAGTACTTATAGAGGCTAGAAAGAAAGAATATTTATGAGCACCTATGGAATATGAACAATTACAGTTGCTCTTATCAATAACACACAGACAGGTATAAAGAAAGTGCTAGAGAATGCATCCAACCGTAGCAGTTTCTAAACTCAGTATTTTCTTAGTGAAGAAAATTCTCTTAAGTCAGCAGCCAGAAACTAAAGGAAATTGCATCAAAGCTCTCCTTCGCCCTGGTCTTCTGTAGGTCTGGCGACTGCGGCTTCCCTCACTCCAAAGCCTCCAAGGAACAGAAGGGAAGACTTGATTTAGAGGATGACCCAGAGGTGGGAAAAGGAAGCTGTTGTTAAATCTTGATGTAACTTCAGGTATGTTAAACCATTCAGAAATTCCTGCCCTTACAAGCAAGTTGATTACAGCTAATTATTTCAGATAGTTGAGGGATACCTGTGGAATCTTTAAACATCCAGGTATTATCTGGTTCTTCCGTCAAAGAAAATCTGTTTTCAAACTCCAGCCCTCTGCTTCTTCTAAGAGAGTGGGAAATAGGAGCCCGACGGCGTCTCTTTTTGCTGAGCTGTACACGCGTTTTCAGTGCACTGGAGTCCAGAATAGTGGTTTGCTATAAAAAGAAACAAAGCCTTACTTTCAACCAGCCTGAAAATAAAAGTCACCTCCTCCACAATGATTTCCCAACCTACTTTAATGCATTAACCCATTCAGTTTAATTAAACTATATATGTTTGCCTGATTATTATTCTTGTAGTTACTTAAAACTATATTAAAGAGAATTTATGATGAGTGTATGCTACGCTGTGGCTAACTGGGTTCAATGCTGGTTCTTTGATCTCTCTTGGCTGTGGATGTCTGATCTGCATGAATTATTTTCACTAAGTTAATAAAAAAATAACTGCAATAAATAGGATTTTGGTTCCTAGAGTGTTTTAAGAATACAGGCTTTGCTAGCTAGCAACAGCTGTAGGCCAATAAGAAGACTGGGATCTAAAAAGAGCAACTACACAAAATTCTCTTGTAGCAGAATGCTGTAATTTCATTGTTCTGACGGGTTGCCATCCACAGAAATTTCAAGCCGCTCACCAGCAACAAGGAGACTGCAAGTTAAGTGTCATGGCATTCAGAAAACTTCTGTGATCAGTCATTTCAAACACATCCACCCCTGTGCACGACAGTAAGGCAGTAACATTTACAGAGCAAAAGAAGGAGCTGTAATCCTTTTATTTATTAAAGCAATTTGATGTTAGAGACTTGCCTGTAATCAGCAAACATCAATGAGCCTCCTCTTCTTTGGAAGATGTGTTTTTATTTCTTTTCAAGAGATTTCAGGTCAGGAATAAACTACTCATTAAAAAAACAGCATATTGCCAGCTGTACTTGAAGCTCTTAATGTTTTAAAGAGACACCTTTAGCTGTCCAGGGAACAGCAGGATACAGGACCATCTCCGCTACCTGCAGAACCACTGACAGAGAGACAAAATGCCATCCGCACTGTTCTGGGCTACTAACGCTTCCTTTACAGAGCAAAAAGTGCACTCGGGATGTCCTGCCAAAGGATTATTAATGGATACCAAGGCCAAGGCATATGCAGTTAGGGATCTCAAAGCAATGGACCACCAAACGTGGCCTCTGCTTCAGAGCCGGAGTGGGCTGGAAGATGAGAGCAGCACCTACTTCGGCAAAACACAGGTTTCTGGAGTTCCCCGTAGATGGCAACACCAGTGGAGTACAGAGCTGGCTAAAGGCACTTTCGAACAGCCCACGCAGGAAGCAGCTGTGATTTTAAGTCAATTCTGCTGCACCAGGCCAAACTGCCTCCAGCACAAACCTGCTTGCATCCTTCATACATTTTACAGAGCAGTCTACTCCTCAATTCAGAAGGTGTTATGGCACTTCGACAGGCAAGGCAGTATATCTGAGACCTTCCTAGCAGCTGCACGATCCATGTAAGTTGGGAGTCTTGCACTTACCAATACATCTGTCATTAGACATTATACAACAACAAAAAAAAAAGTGCACCAACTCTTACTAAAGAAAAAGCAGTACTTCCTAGATGCTATACTGAAAAACTACAGTTGTGTTAGTGCTTCCAAAGAACACTAAACCTCATCTAACTGTGTATGGCCAGAAACTACTGTTGTTATACTAGCTGCAAAATTCTTAAGTGTGAAAAAAATCCTTTAAAATGTAATTGTAAGCTACTACAGAAAGAGACCAATTGTAAATAAGAAAAATATTAGTAAATGCCTTTATAGCCTTAAAACCGCATGGCTCATAGCACAGCGGTCACTAGCTATTTGTGTTATTTAATTATGTTTCCAATGTTCACAGAGCCATTTAACTCTTCTGTTACAGCTCACTGAGGAGCAGAAAGAGAAACAGCAACTTTGTTAAGCCACTGGCAGACATTATCCGAGGCCAACAGCTTTTTGGAATCTCTCAGAACCTAAGCATTACAGAAACTAGAAGAGCTTTGTAGCTTTGATCTTAAACTTTTCAAGCAGGAAGTCAGCTGGGAAAATTCAATGTGATAAAGAAAAGGCAGAGGAAGATTGAATGCAAAGTTTCCAGAGGATACTGCTTTGCAGTGCTTCACACAAGTAACAATACAGTTAACACAGGAGGAGAACTTCTGTTTCCCATTATGGTAACTTACATCAATGAAAGAGAAATCAGTGGTCTTTTCATCGGGGTAGGTGTCTCCTGGAGGAGGTAAATCGGTCCCATCAGTAGAGTCCATGTCAGTGCTGGAACGGTCCAAACTTGTGCTCCTTTGGTCTCTTGAGAAGTCATGGTGATCAACCAGGGAGGCAGGTTCCGTTTGAGAGGACAGTGAAGACGGGTGGCTATTTGGAGGTTGCTTTCTTGTTGAAATGACATTGTTTTCCAAGGAAGGAGATTCAGGCACAAAGCTGCAAATTAAGAAAATGAAATCTATGAGACTTCAGGGTAAACAAACACATGCAAGGATAGTTTGGATCACGCATACTCAGCAGACGATAAATAAAGGTAGAACTGAAACTACAAGCTACAAGTAACCAAGGCATCTTTGGAGGCAGCAGGTACCAGCAGCAAAGCTGTGGATCACTTTCATCATCACAGCTTTTTACCCACATGGATTCACAGTGTATTGAATAATGCAAATATGCAGATAAATTGTAATAATTTGACTGTAACATGCTTTTATTGCTTGGGGTTTCTCTCCCCCAGCACAAAGGCCTGTTCAAATATATACACGCAAACGAGATGAGGGAAACAGCAAGCTGCTTAAAAGCCCTAACCAATTTGCCCATTTGATATGTAACAGCAGCAGACCTTACACTTTGGCACCGTGTACACTTGAAAATATTGTGAAGGGTAATACCCTGCTTGCAGGCCTCAGGCAAAGAGTAACTGTTAAAAGATTCTTCTCCTTGCTCATCAAAAATTATCTTAAATACATATAAATGCTTGTAAATACAAAACAATAAATACTCTGTTACCGTAAGTGAATTCCTGCAGGACACTACAAGCTACCTGCAGCCCTTACAGACACCTCTGTTGTTCATGTTCCCATCTTTTCCCTAGGAGGTGCTTTTTAATATTTACATATCAAAAGTATATTTAGATTATATTTATTTTCATTCATATTCATCTATTTTTCATATATTATTATACTTATATATTTATATTTTTATATATATGGTAGATACAAGACTTGTATGCGCACTTCCTGAAATCACAACAAGGCTGTGTATACACGTCTGGACCTGAAGAAAATGTCAGTGTTCTGGGAATGGCCCTAGCCACCACGGCAGCTCCTGCAACAGTTTGTGCTCCACGCATACCAAGCGGCAGGTGTGAGTAATTTCCATTTCACATGACTCCAAGGAAAGTGAAGCATCCTCAGCAGCGCAGAGGATTTAAACATTTTGGGATGCAATTTTTAGATGCTAATAGACATCGGATTTAAAAAAATTGCATCCCTTGTGTCCTGACAGAAAGAAGCGTCTCTGTTGATGCTATCCTGAGATCAACAGCTCCTCCACTTGAGCTGTATTAGATTTTTATTTCTCTTACTGCCTCTGGTTTTGGTCCATAAGACACAAGGAACACAAGTAACAGTAACCCAGTGAACCATAATTGCCAAGATGTGAAAGAGGAGAGAGGACATTGCTAGTTTAGGTGGATCAGATCCTATTGGAAAGTTTAGCAGCTTTCAGGCAACAACGTGATCACACAGAAGTGCTACAGGCTCATCGATTCACTCTTGACAGGCAGGAGGTCTGCTGGCTTCACAGTGGGTGACTTTAAAGCATGCAAAGAGTGAACTGGCAGGGAAGGGGACTGGAAAGGGGCAAGAAGAGGGCTGGAAATCACTGCAGAAAGCTCTGCAGGGGAGAGGCTGAGCCAGTGCCTCTGGACTGGGGACGGCAGTAGGGACAAATGCCCTGTGCTCCTCCACCATGCTCATTCGTAGCTTGGAAACTAACCTGAGAGATGCCCACGCAACTGCGGAACTGGTTCTCTGAACCAACCATTTTCCTAAATTCCTAAAGAGCTTCTCTTTTATTTCAGGATTTATTTCAGAGAGAGCTGCCCAGCCAGCCAGCCAGCGGTTTTTATCTTTCATGGATGTTAGGGAGCGATGAAGGGAGAGGTGGGCAGCAGGTGGCACCCTAAGGCAGGGCTCTACGAGCAGAGGCTTTCCGGAGTGCCTCGGGGAGAGCACCGAGGACGGCAGGACCTGCACCCCAGTGGTGTGATGCTCCCAGTGTATTCCTAGAAATCTTCCCTTTGCCTAGACTAACAGAAATGAGTTGTAGTGTCGGGACTGAAAGCTGTATACAGTTATGTGTCTCCCTTTGTCACATAGGTTGGCGTATTCCTTTAAGCAGCAGGAGACTGTAGGAAACACAGTAAGACTCTACTGTCAGTAAAAATAGGGCTGTCTTGCTTCTAATTTTAGGAGTTTCTAGTTTAAAAAACAAAAAGTATTTAAGGAGTTCAGGCTTTTTTTTTTTCCCCCTCTGCTTAACAAGAGTCTTTTGTTACCAAACACCTTTTTTTGAGCAAATATCTAGGAAAACTATTCTAAAACCAAAACAATCTGAACATGTATGTATGAATATATGCACATTTTTTAAACAATAGACCTTATTATTTGGTACAGTCCACAGCGATAGCAATCTTGGGAGGAAAACACTCAGGAGTCTACTGTTGAATAACAACTTTCTATCAAGCAGCAGTACATGATATAATTTCCAGTCTGGCAGAGCAAACACTGCACAGAGGGTTTCCAGCACATGAGTAGAGTCAATGCCCTCCTTCAGCAGTGGGCCCCAGGATAATTAAGAAATGGTACTAATGAGCTCCAGGGGAAAGTTTTCGTCTAGTATTTTTTGCTTCGAATGATATTTGGTATCTGCAGCACTAGGCTTTCGATCCACTAGAATATGGAAGAATGTAGAGATGAAAGACAATCTGCAGACTTATCACCGTTCATGGAAATTAAAATGTATACTAGAAGGATCCTGCCTGATTTGTGTATCTCCAGAAAGCCTCTTTCCTTCTACACCCTGGGGCTTCAGCTAATACAACTCAGTGCAGTTTTTCAAACTGAAATATTTGAGAGTAAGCAATGACAGAAATACAGATGAATTTACACCGATTGGTGGTTTCTAATACAAAAACCTTTCTAATGGATTCTCCTTCGGAGCTCTTGCACAATTACAGCATCGTTACACACTAAAGACTGCGGCACAGCTAATCACCACGCGCTGCAAGGATGACTCGAGTACAAACACTCTGTTATGCACAGTGGATTCTTTCCATCTGAACAGCAAATCAGGGGGAAAATTCCCTTCAGAATAATGGTCAAATATTGAAATTTAAAACATGTTTTCAGTTCTCATTACTGAGATGTATTATGCATCTTTTTCTACTACTTCATTAAGATTTCAAGTTTTATGAGCATATCTGTAAGCTACCAACAATGTTCAACAGGTATCATACACATACAGATACTTGCTTCTCTGAAAAATTATGCTTCACGTAGTGCACACGAGTATCAGCAGAATGGTTATCACAAATATGCAATAAACTAAGATCAATCTTAAATTTAATTGCAATTAAAAGTGAGTTAGTTTTAGCAAGACAGTGCTAAAAGGCTATAAAGAATGTATCGCTTCACCATGTGAAATTAGGAGTCAAAAAGTGAAGGAATCCTACTTTTTACAGTAACACTGCTGAGGAGTCAGAATCAAAAGGCAGCTCTCACTACTTGCTTATGGCAACACACAAGAAATAATGTCCATTTAAAAATGCCCTTTTATGTTCTGTAACTGCAGATTCCCATCTATGGCAGGAAGCTGATACCCTATAGTGGGTTTTCTTTTCCAAAACTTTGTTGTAGTCTAGCTTCAAGGATTTGAAGAAACAAATAGCTAAAACCTTATGAAGTCAGAGCTGTATAGATCCATCATCTAAAAACACAGACCCTTTTCTGTAAAAGAGATTTGTTTTTCCTTACGAAGACTGTTCTGATCTAAAAGTAAGAATTTTCTATGATGTCAACTTGGAAAAGCTTACTAAAGCACTTGAGAAAAAATAAAAATAATAGCTTTTAAACAAGCTAAGAAAAATCCAATTAACGCCTCCAACTTAAACCATCTCCTTCCATTTTAAGAAGTTATTTGCCAAAGCCCATTGCAACCAGCCAAGAGCAGCCCCTTACGCTTATTCTAGTGGTGACTAAGTTCTAGTTGAAATCGATCTTTCCTCCACCTTCCTAGAAGCTTATCTAGCAAAAGGACCACGTTTATCCTGTTGCCATGTAATCATGGTTTTTTATTTTAAAATTCTCTTCCTCTCTCAGAGAAAATTAGTTCATTCACAGATGCATTAATGAAACACTCCTAAAGGGGCTAAAATAATTGCTTCATGACTCAAATACCGGAAAATGCCAGAAACTGGAAGTTCCTCCAACACAGCAGCAGTAGGCTGGTGACATTGTTTTGTCCCCCCATCACAGTGTTCCCCGTTTGCTCCCCGGGTGCCCTCCCAGGATGCAGGTAAGCGAGTCACGGTGCCTGTTCCCCCTGTGCGCTCTCAGCTGTGGGTTCAGCTTATGGCCAAACATGGGCCAGGAGGGCGTATCGGGGTGCGTGAGGAATGCAACACCACAGGCCATACGGCTGGCAAGATATAAAGTCTAAGGGAAGTGAGCCAGGCAAAACAGGAAAGCTGAATTATCAAAGTCTCCTGTCGGTTCCTGCCTCTGGGCCGAGCAGAGGATGAGACGACTGCCTCGGCAGCGGCTGAACGCAGAGACGTGCTCGAATTACCCATGGCAAGAGGAGGAGAACATCTGCTCTTGTCCCAGCGAAAGCCTTCTATTACATAAAAAATAAACTGCAAACAAAATGCAGTTTCAGTGTATTCCAGGAAGATTTCCATTATTAATTTAATATTTAAAAGTACGTTACTCTCATTCCTCTCCAAGTGCTTGAATTAATACACCAGTAATTCCCCTGCAATGAACCATAAGTCAAGCTAAAGCAGAGCAAGGAGGGTGGCAAAATGCTGAAAAGTCACTATACTATCATCATTACACCTGAAAAAAAGAAAAAAATAAACATTTCTTACAGTGGAAACTAAATTCCAGGACATGGGGATTGAGTTGAATACTTCAATAAACCAGAATTTTTAGGTGGAGCTTTTCTAATCAGGAAGAATCCTCCAGGTTTGAAATAACATTCAAACACTGTCTGTTTTGGAGCTGAGACAAGCACCTTTGTTAAGAAACCGATTTCAGAAAATGTCTATAACATACTGAAATCAAAGTTAATTTATAGAAGACTTGGATGTCACTGTTGGCATGTCACTTAGCTCACTTCCAAGCTGAAAGCTATCCCGATTTTATAAGCAATAAAATATTTATAACACACAGTTCTCAAGTGCAGAACACACCAAACATAATTGACATTAATGTCTGCTATAAGATCTCAACAAGTACAGCGTTAAAAAAAAAAAACAGGTAAAATACTATTTTCATACTACACTGAGCAGATAGGATATTGGCTCAAACAGTGTAGCTCAAGCTATAATTTACACAACAGGTGTAAATTATAAAAAAACCTCACAATTTAATGCTGTAGGTTTATTTCACTAAACCATTTTAATAACAGAAAAGCATCAGTAATACTATCTTTCATTCAATTGATATTCCATTTCATCCATCCTCCACTTCACCACACTAAAATGCTTCAGTTAGTGAGATGTGGACATCGTACCCCAAGGTTTATCAGGACACATTAAGAGGCTCACCCTACCATCATCCTGCTGTCGGAGCGGGTGCCTGGCATGCAGAGCACCCGTTTCAAATGGATTTTGCCGTTCAGCCTATCTGGTAGCACAGCTTTTAAGGCAATGCTAATTGGCATGGGAGAAACCCAAATTTAGAAAAAAAATAAAAACAAACCCCAAAACCGTTAGCGTACCCTGTCTAACCATAATCAGACACTTCCTTACCTACCTGAGCGAGAGGAAATCAGACAATTTTAGCAAAATCTTCCCAGAACCCTAGTTCTACCCATCAGAGGCACATATCACACAAGCAGCTAATCACTTTCTAAATGTGAAAATGCACATTACAAACACACATAAAGCATAAAAAAAGGTTTTACTACCTATGTTAATCTAGTCAAAGCTATTTGGTGTACTGATTGAGAAAAACTGTTTTTCCCATATCTTCTTTCTACCATTTTAGCACTAAAAAATAACATCTAACTTGTGTTTCACTCCCTAGCAGACTTGTTAAATCTATTCCAGTTCAAGCCGGTTTTGTCATTGCTTATGAAAGTGGTGATACTATGTTTTCACTGGAGGATGGAGTTTAAATTTCAAACCTTATTGCAATTTGCAGATATTAAAGAAATAATTCTTCACCTATAGACTAAAGAAACTGTATAGTCACTGAAACTGAGCATGCAACTTTAAAAAACCCATACATATACACACATGCGCACACATACACACCCAAAACAACAGTTTCTTCTCATTACTCAGCTAAGGAAAAGCTTGCACGCATGGCAGAAGGGACCTTGCTCACCCTTACCTGTCCCCACTGTGCTGCTGCTCATTCCAGGTACCGTACTGGCTGTCGAGCTCCTGCACGAGTGTGTCTGTGTCCTTTGCTCCTGGGGGCTGTCTGGAGAAGCACTGCTTCAGCTGATCCTGCAACAGAACAATTGCAACATTTCAGCATTCCTTTAGCCCTTGGCTAAATGATTAGCAGATTTTATTTGCGGTAGTGTTTTTGAATCTACCAATTAAACTTGGTCAACATAAAACTGGGAATGAACTTAAACATGGAAAATAGCTATAAACTCAGAACAACGATGCTCTACAAAATAAGCACTGTTTTCCTGGGCAAATAACCAGTTCTAGAGGCTGGAACTGACTCCCTGGATTTAGGAACTCCATATTGCTTTAACATTATTCTTCTCTCAGGTTGCACAAAGTTTTTAGAAGCACCTATGCAAACACAAAGAATTCTGCTGGGGCCTACATTTAATCTCCCCAAGCATACAAGGGAAACATCAACTCTACTGCTCTTTTCCCGGGTTTAATAAAAGGACCTTTTTTCTTTTTTTTTTTACCTCTTTCTTTGGAAGACATTCCGAATAAAAAGCATAGATAAATGAATAAATAAGCATAGTGCCAGACACTAGAAAGCCTTTGACAAGTTGATGTGTGCTAATGCAAAGTTCAAACACAATGTACAACATAGAAGGACAGACCGCGGTGTTTTTTCTGTGTTCTACTCTGACCTCTCATTTCCTAAGTATTTTTATTTCATAGATCTGCTACTTTCATAAGAGGGAAACAGTGCATTTAAGGACCCTTTCCTTTCAGGGGAGAGAAGTGGGTCAGCTGCTGCTGCTGGCACGCTAGATTTGCAGCAGACCAATGTTAATATGCTCCAGAATATAGCACTGTCAAATCTTTTGTTTTGCAGTTGTATTGAGATAGACACTGAAGTTAGATAGTTACTGAAATAATACATTGTGTGTAGATCATTAAATGTTAGCCCCTTTCACATTCATTATGCTGAACAAATACAAGTATGGCTTTAAGTGCCGTATCAACTTTGCTTATGAAGATCTCATCTGACAGCAGATTACATTGTTTTCCACCTGTCTTAAACTTTTTCTCTTTAAAAAAAAAAGGAAAAAAATAATAAACACCACACATACACCCTCAAAACCCCCTAGCAGAACACGCTGGTGGAAACTACCAACACATCTATTTCACTTCAGGCAGCACACACAAAGTAACATCCATATTCAATGAAATGGGATTCCTTAATATTATTGGAAAAAAAGAGACTGCATGTTTTCTTGTGTCCTTAATTTTGTAAGCCTAAAGAATGCTGCCTTAAGATTATAAAAATACTGACATTAAGGAAAATTCACCAACACTGATACTTGGCTACTGAAGAAGTCCTACAATGCTTGCATCTTTTGTAACAAGTTGCTTATTTCCCCAACCATACTATCAGCCACTGCCATCCTCCAGTTCTTTCATACCCTCTGCTGCTGACAAAGTGGTCTATTTTAATGCTGAGTGAAGTAAGCAACAAAAGGCTCCACCATTTATTCCAACTATTTACAATGCACCATTACTAGACAAAGTAAAATTCTCAGTTTCCAATACTCAAGTAAAACAGGGACTCAGTTTGTGAGTTACAAGGAAGAGAAGTTTCCTGCTTTTCATCTTCCAGATGTTCCCACAGCCTATTAATGCACTGGTGGCAACTCTTACACTTTATATATAGACACATACATGTATGTCCAGATGCAAGCTGAGTTCTTACATTTTTCTGTCTATTCCAGGTACAAGCTTTCAACCGTGAGCAAGGCATACACTTCTTCTAACAGCTAGGTGAGTGGCAGGGGAAATAGTCTTGTATTTCTTAGAAACCACCGGGCATTTCCTCCTACTTGGCTCAGGCATATGTTTTGTTTTCCACAAAATCCCTCTGTAGCTTCACGATTTCATGCTTTGCACGAGGGGACTAAGCTAACACTCCTGGGCTCAGGCTTCTGCTGTCACCTGGTGGCCATGTAACCTTTGGCAAATTGATTCACTCCTAGGAAAGGCACTAACAAATGCAAATCGTTATTCTCACTTTCCTCCCTACTGTCCATGCTAGTTCAGGGTGGGGTTTTTTTCAGCTTGATGCTTGTTATGAATTTTTTTTCAATCTCAATCTCACATTAGAAGCTACTGCATTCTTGTAAACAATATGAACAGAGTATTTATCAGCTTTTGCCACTGTCTGCACAGAAGAAGTTGCATCTATATGAAGAGCTGTAACTGCGGCATCTGGCAGTCTTAGGGGCAGCACACTCACCTCCACAGCTCTTGCCCAATACCCCTGAGTAACACTTGCTGCCGCAGACAGAAGATGACCCAACAGACACAAGCATGCTACCCTTTTTGTTGGAAGCCAGTATTTTCCACTTGCTACAACTACAGCACGTTATCTCTATGCATGGTATAGACTATTACTTGCAATTACTCACATTGTTTCTAACCAGACAATGTAGTCCAAAAAGCTCAGAAACAGGAATGGGAGCAGCAGAAAAGCAACTTTGTGTATTGCATTTAGGAGACATTGTTTATAAAAAGTGTGTTGTGTTATCATGAAAGTGATGGTTGTAAGGAGAAAGTATGCACAACCCAGATAATACCATTTCAGCAGCAACAGGAAAGAAATTTAGATGTAAATATATTGCTCATCTGAAGGCTCAGGAATTCTTAATAAAATTTTACATTGCAGACAAACTGATTGGCACATGCTCCTCAGTTTCGGGCAACATTTTACTTGATGTTATATATATTTGAACTTTGAGATGCGGTTTTATAACGAAAATGACACCATTAGCACTCAGATAGCGATACTCTATGCTAAAACCAAAAGAAGTCTGAAAAAAACCCCAACATTACTACTTCTGTAGACACTGGGAACTTAAATTCAATAAAACAAACTGGAAAGTCTAAATGTAAGGAATGAGACACACCAAATTCTAAGAGATTACTTTGCTATATCGAGTAATGTTACTGCATTTTGCTTCTGAAGGAAGCTACTTATTTCAGAGGATGACTGTGCGTCTTTCCCTGGATATCCCTTTCAACCCATACTTTTTAATAGGCCAAATGATTACTTGGAAAAAATAAACATTCTTTCAAGTCTGCGAATCACTCCTTAGGCTTAAACTATTTAAAGACTCTGGTTTCTACCAGCTGAGAAGAACTGCAGAGAATTTAATGCGGTACGATAACCTGGTCAGCTATCTGAGAGAAAAAAAGGTACCAACTACCACCAAAATAGGGAGAAGTAAGAGAAGCCAGTTCTCTCCCCAGCTTGTGGAGGAGGTGTCAGCTGGGGAGACCGAGGGTGACGCAGAAAAGCAATTTATAGCCTGTGCAGCTTGGAAGAGATGGCGTGTGTTGAAGAAGGAAGCAACAACAAACCAGAAAGATTATTCTTTCCAGTACGTGATTATTAGCAAGCACAAGAGTGATGAGTTTTAGCTTTTCTTTTGAAGATCTCTTTTTTATCACCTTTACCGCACTCCAGAAAGACTCAAGGCAATCTGGCAATACAGAAGCACTGGGCATCGGGACCTTGGAGGTGCCTGGGAAAAATCCATTCCCTTTGTTTTCAAAATGTTTAGTCTCAGTAACTATAAGCTTATTTTAAAGAAACAGTAGAGGTTAGTTAAAAAAAAAAAAAAGGGGATAATTTTCTCTACCTCCATCCTCTTTCAGCCTTCATACTCTCTGGATAGCACTTAATAGTTGCTATTAAACTTTTGGTTTTTTAAATACCAGTCAAAATTACACAAATTCTCTGAGAACTGTACATATGTACCATTGTGTTTTATGGCTGAGATGCTTTTAGACACAAGCAACTCAAATTAGATCATACAGATACATTTGCATTTTCTGGCACTAACATTTTACTTGGAACAACTTGATGTTACAGACAAAGAGCATGAATGAAGAACAAACTGGGATTACAAATCAAAAGCTTTAAAACATATGACAGACTGGGAAAATAATGTAAGACTTACTGAATGTACTAGAGTGACTATTTTTAGGTCTGCCACAAGCCCATTATATCACACATCCCACAGTGCCCTGTATCACATTAATTTACATAAAACCATAGAAGACAGATTGAAGCACCCTACCTGTTGCCTAGTAGAGCTTGCAACACATCCAGTGGCACAATAAGGTGCACTAAAGCCAGTTTTTACCCAAGTACTGGGAGGAAAAAGAAGGAAATACTTTCTGACATGTACTGCTCCCAAACATGACAAGTTTCTGCTTCATACTTTATTCCCTAGCCTAAATCCTAATTTAAAGCTTCTTCAGATGGATGAAAATGATTTTTTTTTTTTTTTTTTTAATGTATAAGCACCACAGAACAAGAGATCCTGCAAGATAAAGAACTGACACATCTGGCTTTGACTTTTGTTGCTCTTAAGAGCAGATCTGCTCTGAACAGAAGCTTTTTTTTCTGTAAGAGATAACTACCCATTATTAACTCAACAAATTTGTGCTAATATCTGTGATCCTTTCTCTTTCTTTATCCATCCCTTGGAAGAAGAAAACAAAGTTGAAAGAAGATGTGTACAACGTGAAGCTAGGCCAGATACAGCCATTCCTCAATTAACAGAATATTCATGATACAGTAAAAACAGTCATTTCAAAGGAAAAGACAATAAAAAGAGGGGTCTGGTATCTTCTTAGCACACAAGATATGAAAATTCCTAATTTGGGTTTATTTATAACCACAGAAAAATCTCCCCAATCAAATAAATACTACTCTCACTCCAGTATTCAAATGCTGTAATTCTCCATGCTTTGATCTTTAACTTCATAATTCTTACACCAGTAGCCAGGAAAAAATCAACTTAATTTTCATATGAAACAAAACAGCCGAGTTGTATACTGATTTGTCTCTAGTTCTTCTAAAATGAGACACGATGATTATGCCTCTTTTGCTACTCCCTTGGAATTAAGCTGGGTTTGGCAATAGTCCAGGGCTGATTACTCCTGCAATTTCCAGTTCCTGAAAATGATGCACACACAATATTGGTTCTACTAGCGCAAAAATTAACCGTAAATGTATGCATTCATTCTTAGTTATGTGAAAAACT